ACTTTCCAGGATATGGAAAGTCTTATGATTCATTTCTCACTTCACTCCAGTACCCTGCAAATCCCCAGTTAAACGACTTTTGTTACCTGCGCCCTAAAAGATAAAATGGAAAAGAATAATATCAAGCATGAACAAGTTTTAAAATTCACTTTGGAACTGTACATTAAGTATAACAGTCTGTTAGCTCTCAGCAGTGGTGGGCACAGGTTACTGTTTTTATGTTTTGGTGCCTCACTGGTCTATGTGGCTTCCTATTTAACACCTGTGCACTTAAGATGCAGTCACAAGTGGTGTCCTTCAGGGCAAAGGCTTGGCAGTGGCTCTAATGAGAGACCAGAGCACTAGGCTCGTTGCTGCGGTTGTTGTTGTGCTGGTGACTGAGCCACAGCCTTCACACTTAGCGACAGCGACAGTATTTTTTATTTTTGAGCAGGATCTCACAAGTTGCTAAGTTGCCCAGACCAGGCTTGAACTTGTGATCCCCAGCCTTAGCCTCCCAAATGCTGGGGTTACAGGTGTGTTGCTTGTGGCCGCCGCCCTATGTGGTATCCTGGAAGTCACTGTGATCCTCTGTGTTTCTCACCATATCCTGAACATAACACCCTGTTGGTACGTATTACTTAGGTTTATGTAATTCACAAGCAGACGTACACTTTGTGGCTTCTATATAAGTATAGTCTATGAAATCATCTGCAAGCTTTTCCTCCTATCTTTTCTAGAAAACTGATCAAAGGCTTTTTATGGACTATGCTTACAGCATGGAAATAAATTTTTTCATATGTAAGTGCTTCCCAGGATTTCTTTTGACTGCCCTGCACCACCCGATTTCTGGTGGTAGCACGCAGGATGTCTGTGGTCCTGATGCTTCACGAGTGAACAGAAGCCAGGGACAACTTCCCGGCCCATCCGCCTCGATTTTCTCAACATCTCTGGACAGATGATTTGCCTGTTCACTTAGCCAAATTTCCTTTTTTCCTAGGAAATGAGATTAAAAACAACATCTTGACTCTTTGGGAAAAGACTTGAGTTACCTCTTACAAGAAGTACACCACTGCTGGCAGAAGTGGAAGCAAAAGTCCTGTGAACTAACTATGAGTCGAAGGCTGGGGATTTAGCTCAGCGGCATAAGTGCCTGCCCAGCAAGCGTGAGGTTGAGAGTTCGATCCTTAGTACCAAAGAAATAAAAAATATAAATAAATGTGAGTCAAGATTCCACTGAGGATCTTCAAGAAGACTGCCACCCATGCTTAGAGGGAGATGCTTCCCTCTGGGAAGAGTGGGCAGGGTTGTCTCCAGGTTTCTGAAAAAGAAAACTAGGTAGTACGGGCTTTTTATTTAGGGAACTGTGGTATCCCAGTGTGGGATACCTCGCCCTTCCACAAATCTTGGAGGAAAAGCAACAGAGACTGAGCCTGGCGGGGGGGGGGGTAGGAAAGAGAGTGACCGTGGAAGAGAAATTGTGCAGATGTTTTGGGTGCAGTGACACCTCAGCCAGCCCTCTCTTGATCACAATGGCCCCCAGGAATGTACAACACAGTAACCTTGTGGATGTGAGAAAAACTTGGTTTCAAAATCAACAGTTGAACAATACAACGCGGTCCACACAGTACTCCCATCTTTTATAGGCAATAGCTGTGGATTTAGATGTGTGAATGATACAAATCTTTGTGTTCGTCACAGTGCAGAAAAGTCTTGTAAATGTCACCAGGATGGAAAGACTTTGGTCAGAGTCCAGGTCTTGTTCCTCACAGAGCGCAGGCCTGGGAGATGCCTCGTGAATGCCATGGCGGGTGGAGAGCTGCAAGCGGAGCTCGCATCTTCCCTGATATCAGCAAGCCCCTCAGGAGACCGGCCTTATAAATGCACAAAATTCAGCAAGGGCTGTTAGCACAACTCCCCTCTCCTCAACCACCGCCAAGCGCACACCTGTGAGATGCCCTACCAATGCGACCTGTTGTATGAGAAGGCATTGGGATTTAGGTCACTGCTTACAGTTCAGATCTTCACACTCATCAGAGAGTTCACATGAGAGAAAAACCGTACAAATGTGAAGTGTGTGGTAAAGGTTTCAGCTATAGCTCCTGCTGTCCCTTACATAAAAGAGAGTGCAGCAGATTTTGTGAGTGTGGTAAGGGCTTCAATCGGAATTCAGATCTTCGTGGTCATCTCAGAGTCCATGCAGGAGAGAGGCCTCAGTCACAGCTCCTATCTTCATGTCCATCAGAGAGTGCTTGGAGACGAGATGCAATATCCAGGTCATGGAGTGGGAGGGGTTTTAGTTACAGCTGAAAACTTCTCACTCATCGAAGACCGTGTAAGAAGCAGAAGCATTATACCTGTAGAAAGCTGAGATTTAGTCATGAAGACAGAAGCCACTCTGCAGCCACATGACTGAGGCTGATTCAGCCTTGAGGGCATCCTGGGGAGCAGAACACAGGGATGCTACCATGCATGATGTGCGCCTGCCGCCACCAGGGAAGATTCTTTAGAGCATGCCAGGCAGTCCCTATGGGTCTCAGAAACTTCTGTGACACTCCTATCAATTGATATATGTGGCATGCGTTGTCAGAAACCAGACAGACACAATCTTCTCAGTACTCCTGGATGATAGAGGAGTTTTAGAGGCACATAAAAATCAATTTCCTTCCAGAACTGTGGTATACTTTGGGTTATTTGGATATTGGTTGAGATAAACCATGCATTTCTTCAATAAAAAGGAATTCAAATTGGGATGCCTATTAGGTAATATAAAAAATTGTTAATTTGGTTTCATAAGGTTTCACACTGACCCGTCTGCTCGCCAGTGCAGACTGGAGAGGTTCACTTGAGATTCAGGCAGCCTGAAGAAGAGACCAGAGTCTGGAAATGTCTGGGTGTGCCTTTATTCTCTGGTGCTGCTCAGCTGCACGCACTGGCACGGCAGCCGCAGGCCCCAGCCTGCCCGCCTTCATAGCAGCCCTGGCTGCTTAGTTTCCCACTAGTGCTCATGGTAATCCACATTTATACGAAGATACACAATAATCACCAGGTGCCAGTAACCGACTTGGTTAGACTTGGATTTGATGACTCCAACCCCTGCCCCACAGCCTGCACCCAGTGGTAGCCATGTTAAGCTTCATTTTTCCCCCGCATGAGCTACTCCCCAGACTTTTATTAGTTTTGGGTTTTTTTTTTTTTTGACATGTTCCCTAGGCTGGGGACAAATTTGCAATCCTCTTACTTTTGTCCTCTGTGTTGGGATTATAGGTATGTGCCGCCATGCTCTATAATACTATTATTTATAGTTTGTATTTGAAAATAAATTATCAGAGATTTGATCTAAAATATTTGGCAACAAAAGGCAAAATAGTGATAAGTGTTGAATTTAGAAGGTGTGGATTTGGTGTTTTATGTCACTACTATCAATACTTTTATATTATTTTTAGAAGTTTCATATTAAAATGTATTGGCCAGAAGAAAGTGTTAAATACATACTTCCTGTAGATTCACTTGGTAATCTAGACTCCATATAGTTATTTACTGTCTCCACCTTTATCCCTCCCCTCTTTGTAATTATGAAACTCATGTTTAAACACATTGAGCCACGACCTCACTCACTGGCCTGTGAATCCCCCTGCCTGCTTTCTGTTAGGAACTTACAATCTAGCAACTTACTATTTATTACTAGCAACTTAGTATTACTACTAAAATAGTACTAAATATTTATTACTTAGGATTTACGTTATCAAGAGCAAGATGAAAATAGGTGACATGACAATAGAAGCTTCAAGAACAAAAAGTTTCAAGATTATCTTTCCAGTGCTGTAATACTTTCTTTTTGCCTTCTGATTCATAACCTGATAATTATCTGTTAAAGCCAAGAAAAGATGGGAAAACTGCTGCTGCTGTACAGCCCCATTTACAGTTCCATCAGTAGGTATTTTGTTGTTTTATTTTAATCCTTGGCACCTACATTCACTTCTTGAAGATTCAAGAAGTAATGCGTTATGTGTAGGTAGTAGCTATACTGTCAAGATTCTCCACGGGGAGGCCATGGGCTAGGAAAAGAACCAGGAAGTCTGCTGCCTTTCTGGAAGTCTGCTGGCCTGCTGGCTGGGAAACAAAAAGGGGCTCACCCTCGGCCCCCTATCGCTATCCCAGCAGCCCTCTGATTAGCAGGAACACATGCTAAGACGATAGTAAAACTTAATGCATGCATTGATTGATTGACTTTACAGGCCTGAGCCATTAATCTGAGCATGTTCAGAGGATAATATGCATTATAGCAACTATGGGGGAGATTTATTTTTGAAATTCTATACTGATTTCACTATTTTGTTTCGTTCCATTTTATTGTTTTGATTTATTCTCTTAAAAAAATAATAATATAAAAGAGCTCTCCATGCACTCAGGCCCAAAGAGAATAAAAAAGGCAATTCAAGCAAAGTAAGATTGAGATTTTGGATTTCTTAAATTCAAAGCCCAGTGCAGGCCAGTTTCCTTTCCGTATCTGCATTACTAGCTCACACATTATTTGCTCCCACTTGTCTTCTACAGGGCATTTTCTTGCAATAGGTAAGTAGTTTGCTTTATTTAAGTTTATTTGGGTATTTGGCACGTTTGAAAGATAATTTTCGAGGAAAAAAAGGGGGGCGGCTTGCAGTAAAAACAACCGAGGTCGATGAGCAGTGTAGAATTAATTCAGATTGGCTATCCAAGGCTATAGTGCTTATCCAAAAACTATCCAGCCTCGCTGGAAGGGCTGTCCCAGCCGGAGATTCCGGGAAGTGTAGTCCAGAAGACCCGCACGGTCACGGACACACTCTAGGAAAAGCACCTTTCATGCGCTATCTGCGGGAGAAAACAGAGGACTACAGGACGTCAACATTCCCTGTGTTTGGGATTCTGGCTGCAAGAAAGCAGAGCTCGAGAATCTACTCCTAACCGGCCCCTTGGGAAACACTCCGCGGAGCTCCTGTAGACGTCACTTCCGCTCTGGGAGCGGGGAGTTCTGGGAAATGTAGTTTGGGGACCCCAAGGTAGCCGGATAATTTCTGCTGCAGGAGGCCGAGCTGCCTCCCGGCTCCCGTCGGGAATCTGGGAAGCGTAGACCAGGCGGGCTCGGCAGCGTAGCCACTTCCGTCCCAGGTGTGGGAGGCCGCGGCCTGCACATCTCGCAGGAAGGTGAGCTCTGCCCTCGGCGCATTTGCTCCCGGCGTCTGCGCGGATCTTTCCTGCTTTCGCTCCTGGCCTGTGGCAACCAGGCAGGCGACCCGGGGGAAGCGAATTACCTCTGCGGGGAAAGGCGGGTTTTGTGGTCCCTTTGAATGGACTTGCACGGCATGCTGCAGCTGGCAGCGCATCCCCGGCTTGAGCTCTGTACCCCGCCTCCCACGGGCCAGAGCCAGCCCTGCACTTTTCAGTAGTATATGGCTCGACTTTTGCTCTTCTTTAAAATGGTCCTAGTGCCTACCGGCTTACTGTACCAAGGGTTGAACCCAGAACCTTTGCACTGAGCTATTCCCAACCATAGCCTCTTTACGTGACAGGTTTTCGCTGAGTCTCTGCGTTGCCCAGGCTGGACTCGAACGTGATTCTCCTGCCTCAGCCTCCCATCGTGCAGAGATTACAGGTGTGCACCGCTACGCTTGGCCCCTAAGAACGATTCTAAGAACAGAGTCAAGCGCGTGGTAGAAGATATGGCAGGTTGCTTGTTACTAGTACTCCGTGAGTTTTTGAGAAGCACCCAGTTCCCCCGGAAGCTTCAGTGTACTTAGGATGGAGTCAGAGCTCCAGGTGCAGCGTCCCTGGCCTCTGAAGGAAGTGGGGCTGTACCGGGATCCCGTATACGACTGACTTTATTCTTTTTCATAGAGAGGGTCCCTCCGGGCTGTTACCTGGGATCTCCACTGTAATCGATGGGAAGTTCTGACGAGGTTCTGATTTCTCGCCTGGGCTCCAGGCAGCAGTCTTTTCTGAGGGTGGAATTTACCGTCCTTCCCTCCCCCTACCTATCTCCGATGATGCGGGAGGTATTTTCTTTACTTCTTGGCTAAATCTGCTACAACACCGCTGTGGTGTTTGTTAAATAAGTCCCGGAAGGGATGGGATAGTGCTGAGGCATGAATCATACAGTATAAAACATTTAGTGCTAAATATTATTGTAAGAGAATTGTATGACTTAACATCATTAACTGTCACAAGAATTCTACAGTTGAGGGGACTGTTGGCTCATTCATCCAGTGAAGAAACCTATGGGTTGTTTGTCCTGGTTTTCACAGTTAGGTAGCTAGGGAATTTAGGTAGTTTACTCCATTGCCTTTGTTGTTGTTTTGTTTGTTTGATGTGTGTATTGTTTGTTTTGTTTTTGTTCTTTTGAAACGGAGCCTTTTTATGTAGTGCAGGCTAACCTGGAACTCATGACCCTCCTGCTTCAGCCTCTTGAGAAATGGGATTACAGGCATGGGCCACTATGCCTGGTTCAGGACCAGACCAAATGGAGACACAGCACCAGAGGGACTCTAGAAGGCAGCTTTATTACACTAGCGGGCTGACGGGAATCTCAGTTCCAAATCATCACCCATGATTGGAGTTTTCCAATTGTTTTGGTTACTTTTCTCTTGTTGTTGGGACAAAATACCTGACACCCAAAATGAAGGAAGGAAAGGTTTATTTAGCTTATAGTGTTTGGAGGTTTCAGTCCACAATCAGCTGGCTCCAAGGCAGGGTGGCATGGCATTGGGACAACATTTCAAGGAAGCAGCCAGCAAAAGCAGCCAGAGCAAAAGAAGAGCAAGCCTCTTGCCTCCTTGCACAAGATGAGGATACTTACAAAGTGAGAACCCTGGCTCCCTGCTGAGTCTCTCAGTTAAACTTCTAAACTTCTCAAGTTGATACAATGTATCAAGCATAACACCAATCTTCTAAAAGGAAGTATAAAAGGCAGATAATATGATTGGTTACACATGTCTTTGTCATTAATTGCTAGGCAAAATTCACTCTTACAGAAACAGCAACTAAATGAAGTTACTGTGGTACAGCACAGAGAAAGAATCCATCATTGTTTGAGACCAGGCAGAGATGTCCTTGCAGTGATAACTCTGGGACTGGGAATCAAGAGAAACATTTCTTTCTGGCTGAGTTATGCTCATCTTGTAGTTTTAAGCTTCCTAACAGTCGGCCACATTTTTGAGCAGTGTTAGCAATATGCTTAGTATTAGAAATATGTTTTTAAAATTTTCTTTGCATTAAAATAGCTTCTACACTATGTTGCTTTATTTTATTTTTTTAAATTTAATTTTATTTTTTACTATGTTGCTTTACTTTTTAACGTCTCTGCCATCTTGCACCTCCCATGATACATACATGACTGTCCCATCTGGTGGCCTCTGCCGCTAGCTTTGTAAGAAGTAAGCAATCATCTGTGGGACAGTCATGCATATACCACTGGTGGTTCAGGCCATCTGCCTCGTCATAAGCATGTTCTGTATCAGGCTGACAGAGTGGGTTTTTGTAGAGTCACAAAAGCTATGTTAACGAGCTTTGACTTTTTGGTAAGTGTTTTTAGTCGTCTTCAATTTAATTGTGTTTGAAATGTTTATGGTTCACATTTTGATTATAGAAATAATTATACATTGTAGAGATCGAGAAAATATATAAAATATAAGGAAAAATGTTCTTACTCATGAACACAAGATGTACTAGTGATAACAATATTAGTATTTCCATGTTCCTATTTGGTAGACTTAGTTTTGGATTTTTATCAAAGTTTTACAGGATAGGTTTTATTTTTCCCTAGTGCTTTATTACTATACAAAAAAATTTTTTTACTATGGAAATTTATAAAAATAACCCTGACCTTCCTTTCCCTCCCATTCCCTTCCTGTTCCCACCCCTAGATATATGGATGACTTTACTACAGTGAAATCTTCACAAGTCAGTGTTGTTTTGCCTTCCATGTTTAGGGTGAATTCTCTGAGACACATTATAGAGTCTGTAGCTAAAGCTAATTCCTGAAGCCATCCAATGTCCAGTAACAGTGATCACAAAGACTTACTACTGTGAAGCATTTCGGTCCCAGCCCTGAGTGGTGGAAATCACAGTAAACTTTTCTCAGGCTGTTGGATACTTGTGTGATAGGCAAGTGACGATTCTTCTATTTGTGACAAAATTCATGAAACTTTCGATGGCTGAGTCCACGGGACTGAATGGAGCTCAGTGTTGACAGACACTAGGGGGCCAGTTACACATGACTAAAATAATCGTCAGTGAGATCACTGCTGACGCGTAACACAGTGAACAGCCACGGGCTTTAGACATGTTTCCTCACAGGCTCTATCGCTCTGTCCATTTGACCTTTTTCTGCTTTAACATATTTTTACCATTATCAGTTTTAATGCATGTTAGCAGATTGAGTTTGCTTATGCTGTTTAGGTTTATACTGAATTAGTATTTTTTTCATCTCCTTTGGAAATATTTTATCTGCAGTTCTTACAGCCTGCTCCTGGAGCCTCCTTATTCAGTCCTTTCAAACTTGGCATTGATTCCTTGAATAAATAACAACTGAGTTGGCATCAGTAACATCTGTGGAGTCCTCCAGGGCCAAATACAATCTAGCGAAATCTTTTCTCTTCTAGTTGAAAGACTGTGGTGCTGTTTACATTGTCATCACTCTGAGAGTAACCGTTCTTTCTCAAGGCCCCATAATTTTAAACAAAATTATTTTCTTCTGGACACATTTCCTCGCCTGCTACAATCAAACATGAGCTAATCAGCTCATCACTGGTAAATTAGTGTCCATGTTTGGGTAAGAAATAGAAGCTGAATATCTGAATATCTGGACCTTGCTTTGGTTGCAACTTCATTTTCATGATTGGTTTTTGTGGAAAAAAAATTCTGCCGTGATAAAACATTTTATTTGAAGTATTTTAACTTTCCAGAATATTGCTTTATTCTGAGTTATTTGTAAAGAGTGCCAACAATGTAGACATGCATTGTATTCAATGTGTGGTGGGTTGTCACTTTGTAATAAGCAAAAGGCTTTGCTAATTCAATAACTGTCATCACTGTTGTGCCTCAAGCATGACAAACCCTGCTTTTCCGTTTTCTGATGAACATGTGCTGACAATAAAAAACTTAAACATGCGGTACAGCAGTGCATGTTGTCCTTGACATGCCGATCAGTTAGCATCTCTTTAATACAATGGAGGTAACCCTTCCTGGGTCCTGTGTGTGTATTATGCTTAGCTACGGAACAGAGAAGCACATGGGGTCCCATCAGGGTTACAGAGCTCAGCTGCTTTAATCAGAGGCAGCCATGCATGTGATTTAGCCAAGAAGGAACATAATCAGATATTAACTGTATCTAATAGGTAATGGATCAAGGATATTATGTAGCTTGACCACTGCTTGGAAGCATATGAAACCAGAATTGCTTTTTTTTTTTTTTTTAATTTAGTCTTGTCTTTTTGAGACAGGGTCTCACTATGCAGGTCAGGCTGAGTTCACTCTGTAGCCCAGGCAGGTCTTGAACTCACAACGGATCCTCCTGCCTCAGCCTCCCGAGTGCTAGGATTACAGTGTGCCATCACATCCAGCCTGCTTTTTATTTTTAATTATTTTGTGGTTTGAAGTACTAGGGAAGGAATCCAAGGCCCCACATATGCTTGGCAAGTAACACGCTCTGTTAAGAGTAAACTGAGGCATCGCGGAGGCCACCAAGTCAGGTGAAGCTGAAGCAGTAAGCGAAGTTTATCCATCCCCTGCACCCCTGCAGGCGGGCAGGGTGATAAAGCCATCGGCCCCAAGGAACGGGCGTGGGAAGGTTTTACAGGGTGTTTAGATGGGAGAGGAGACTGGCGGGGAGGAGTGGGAAATTTTAGTCTGAGTCTGGGGAGTCGGGAGTCTCGTTGACATCCGTCCGTGTCTTGTAGGTGTGGCCGCATGGCATCGTTGCTTGTTTGTCGCTTTGGGCAAGCTACGCCTCCTGTTACCTCTGTGTCTCGGCAGCTGAGGTCAGCGGCTCTGCTCAGGGAGTTTTTCTTCTCTGTGGGTTGTGGGGCTGAACACCGCCAGCCTGTCCTAATTTTGAGTCCCTGTGTGGTTAGGGAGCCCCTGCTTGGAAAAGCTGGTGAGGTGGATCTTGACCGGAAGCCTTCTGCGTGCTGAGTGTGCACTTGAGAGGCACCCACAGCACAAGTTGCCTGCAGTCTTTCCTCCTAGCAGCAGCGTCAGGAGCATCTTACCAGAGCAACCGAGAGCCGGGTCCCCGACCTTGCTCTGTTCCTGGCTGTGATTTCCTGACAGTTTCTTTTTTTGTTGTTTTTTTTCCTTTTTATCGGTACCAGGGATCGAACTCACGACTGCCTGCTTGCAAAGCAGGTGCTTATGCCGCTGAGCTAAATCTCCAGCCCTGCCTGACAGTTTCTTAAAGGCTCAGTTTGCAAACTGCCTCTGTTCATCTCATAGTCTGTGGTTTGCAACTGTCTCTGCAAACTCCGGTCACCTGTGGGGAGTTCATAAAAAAGCTTTGCTAGGTCCTGATTTATAGATCCACCACTGACTCTGGGCAATGATGCTATTTTTAAAAGCTCCCAGGTGATGCCCGTGACCTAACAGATTGAAAGCCCTGGTCCTAGAAATGAGAGCAGTGTCTGGGCTGATTATCCTTGGCTGTTGTGCTGGCTAAATGGAAAATTATGAGCAAATAACTTAAAATCTTGATGTCTCAGTAGTGTCATTGCTGATGGAAATTACAGCTATCCCACCTCCCCAGGCATTGTGAAGGTTAAACGGGGCACTTCCTCTAAAGCACACGCTTTGCTTTTGGCTTCCCACACTTTCTTGGCTCCCTCTTCTGCCTCAGGGACTCTCATCTGTTCAAGCACACTGAGGAGTCCCTCTCTCAGAGCTCCACCTTTGAGCTCTAACCCAGCCGGATCAGGTCTCAGGTCTCCCGCAGAGCCCTCCTTTCCTCTCCCTCATGCACACTCTACTTGCATTTATCCAGGATCCGCATCCTTTTTAGAAGGTGTTTGGAAGATGTGATATGTGAAAGAAAATGCCATTCTTTCTCTGCAACTGTGCGGCCACGTTGCACACACATTCTGTTTATTCTGCAAAGCATCACCTGTGGGCAGGAACCCTGGAGCAGAGGCAAGAGCAGACCTCTCTCCAAGGTGGTGCTCAGAGGCTCGGCCCGATCCTCAGTTCATGATTAGCTTTTTTTTTTTTCTTTTCCTTTTAGTTCTTTCTCTTCCATCAATGGCCTTGAACTCATCCCAGAACGTTCATAACATAACAGACTTTGAGGCAGAACTCACAGAATTAAACTTGTGGACTCCAGATCCTTGCAAGGGTCAGCGCTGAGCAGCTTTTCACAGGTGAGCACACTTAACCCTGTAAACAGCCCCTGGGCATGGAGGACCACCGGGCGGCTCTCCTTAAAAAAAGAGCCTTTGTCTCCACCTTGGCTAAACCTGGCCCTATTTCTGTGTATTGACACGTGCACAGCTGGCAAAGTCTTGTCCTTGTCCCCTCCATTGGCTTTAAGCAATGAAAAGTGGTGACAGGTCACTGTTGCCCTGCCCACAGCTCCCAAGAAGCATGTGTGAGCTGGGCGGGAGGGAGAGCCGTGCTCCACACTCCTAGCTGGGATCTGATCTCGGGATGAGAGGCTATGATGTCCCAGACATAGAACATTACACAGCAGAATGGAAGCACCATCCCATTAGGCACCACCTTGAACTGTGTTACGCAGATTACTTTTTTGCATCTCCTTCTCTGCACATGGCAGAGGTGATTTCAGGCCTCCTGCCCAGCCCAGCTCACAGCGTCATCCTGAAGCCACTGCCCTCTGCATGAGCTCATAAAACCTGGATTTGCCCCGGGTCGAGGCCTTTGTTGCCGTTAACCATCACCCTAGCTGGACTTAGGACCCCCCCTGGCCTCACTGGTAATGGTAGACTAGAATTAACTCGCTTGAGATTCCAAGAACTTTTCCACGGAATTACAAATATAAACTTCCCAGGCTGGGACAAGGACCGAAAAGGGCTTTTATTACATGAGTCAGTGTTCTTATCCCAGTGTGGTCTGGTCTAAGTGAGGCAGAAGGTTTCATCTTTTAACACCAGACATATACAGTAATAGCTGCCTGGAGTGTAACTCAGTGGCAGAGCCCTTGCCCTGCCATGCTCAAGAACCTGGTTACATCCCCAGAATTGCAGAAAAAATATTGTGTTGGTGTGGGGATATATTTGTTGTAGCTATGAGTTTCCTGTGGCTGCAGGAAGATTATTAACCAACCATTTGAGTAAAGGGTGACTTTCCCTGGACAGAACAAGAATCGCTGCATCCAGATGTCTTACAAAATACTTTTGCAAGCGCAGTCTTATGGTGCAGAATAGTACCTACTCTGCAGCACCAGGAAATAGAGAACCTTGGTGTTTTACATAGCTTTCCGCCCTTCTCACATACCGCCCTAATGAGAATCCTGTAACATTGGCACTACAGTGATCCCAGCTTTCAGACGGCAGGGTTGAATCACTGGAGGGATGATGAACTTACCTGGCTACTCAGCAAGTACATAGCAGCTGCGGGTTCTGAACACAGGTGTTTGGCACCTGGAGTCCACTTTGAATGCACACATTCCCTGCTGCGTCTTCCCCGGGGTTCCTGGCGTGGGGGAACACCTTGGGAGCTGGCACAGCTGTGAGGGCTGAGTGGGGGCTGGAATCCAGGCCACGCTGCCCACCGCATAGCAGATGCGTGTGGCCATCTGAGGGGAGGGAACAGACACCTTTCCCCTGAAGTGCACAAGGGTACATTTCCCTTTTGCTCATGGCTTCTTTCCTGTTACCCTGTTCTGCCTTCTCAGGGCTCTGACCTTCCCTAGGAAAAGGAGGAAAAAATGACCGAGTTCCAGGTGAGTTGATTTTCATTTCTGCCATTTATATCTTATTTCTCAGCAGGCAGACAACCTCTTCCCCATTCCTAGCCAAAATTATGAATGGCAACATTCTTTTGATATTATTTACTGTCATGTTGTTAGCTTTTGTTTTTGTCCTTTTAATTTTTTTCTTTGGTGTTTTGTTTTTCGAGACAGGGTCAGGCTGAATAGTTCTGGCTGGCCTTGAACTCACTGTGTAACCCAGGCTGGCCTTGAAAGCAAGGTGATCCTCCTGCCTCAGCCTCCCATTGCAGAGATTAACAGCTGTGCTTACCATGCCTGGCTTCTTAATAGTTTTTGACTTTTTATTTCGCGAATAATAGTAGAGAATAGAAATTGTAAAATCTCACACGTTATTTTGTTTACATCACTTGGGTTTTTTCATAGTTATTTTAAAATACACTTTCATAAATATATTTGCAATAATAGGTGTAATTTAAAATTTGATTCTTTTACTTCAAATAGTATTTTTATTATCTAATATTGTTTCAGTGAACTGTTTTTACCCCCATTACCTTTTTAAATTATTTCCCACTCACAAGCTTTTGCATTCCTGAGGATTCTTAGTTTTGCATTGGAATATAGTTTTCTTACATATAATCTTTACTTAAAAAGCTTTTCTGAGAGAATTCTGGGGCTGGGGATTTAGCTCAGCGGCATAAGCGCCTGCCTTGCAAGCAGGCCGTCATGAGTTCGATCCCCGGTACTGATAAAAGGAAAAAGACAAAAAAAAAAAAAAAAAAAAAAAAAAGCTTTTCTGAGAGAATTCTATTTTTTTTTTCTTTAATGTTCTAGAGTCTTTTAAAAAAGTCCTTTTTCCTCCCTAAGTCATGCCTTTAGAGCTTTTTAAAACCAACACCTAAAGTACAGTTTTGTGTACCAAAGCTAAACTTAAAAGAAAAAAATATTTTTCATACAAGTTAGATAATTTCATCTCAGTACCGGAAGCTTTCTGTGTGTGCTGTGTGTGTCTGTGTACTTCATTACTTATGAATTTGTTAATTAACACAGGTGATTGATCTAACATTTCTCAAGTCATACTGTGGCACTGACAGGAACTTCTGTCTGTCCGTTTACTACACTGTTCTCATGAAGACAAGAGGTTCGGGCTCTCTAAGATGAGGGTCCAGCCAGCTCCAGGGCCTCTGACTCCTGGTCAGCAGAGTCAGGCAGCCCCGTGGGGAGAGGGTCACAAAGCTGCAGAGGCAGCCAGAGCAGAGTTCACTCCGAGCTGAGAGTGGGATGCTCAGAGCTACAGCTGGGACGATCGCAGGATGGGCAGGGCTCCACGTAAAAATGTTTAATTTCCTTGCCAAAAAAAGTTATAAGACAGACAGCAACACAGAAGAACAAATATTTCTAGTGTACCTGGAAATAAAGACTTTGTGCCCCTAAATGAATATTATTATAAAGTGAGAAATACAGATAAATGGCAAATGTATGAAGAGTCATCTTTATTACTATTCAACGTTATGAGAATTTTTTAAAAAATTGTTACTTTCCAGATTTACTTCTGAGATTGTCAAAAGGTTTTGTTCGTTTGGTTAAGTACAGTATTTATATGTAGTATTGGATCAGCATAAGATTAATATTTTCTTGGAGAAAGACTTAGTTTGAAAAACCTTTTCTTGGGGAAAGGTTTTTAGAGCTGCCGTTGTAATTTCAAAATGTTAAAAGTCACTATTCTTCAGCCTGATTATTTCTACTTTCTGGCATTTAATTTGAAGAGATAATCAACAGTTTCAGGGACTAAGAACTATATAAAAGGATGGTTTTTGCACCATTTTTTATAGCAGGTCATCTAAAACTAAGTATGTATTAATTGAATCAATTCACTGTAATGTGGGTCATCAGTTCCATGGATTACTATGCAGCCCTAAAGAGGGGTGAAAATAACGATAATGAGGTTAATACTGGTGCTGACACTTACTGGGTAGTTACTATGTGACGGGTACTGTTCCTGAGTGCTCCTGGGACTCTGTGGCATAGGTATCAGCATAAAAATGAGTGAAGGAGACGCTCGTCCATGACCCTAGGATCTGCCAGCACAGGGCAGCACTTCTGGATGTGAACACAGGCAGTGAGGCCCCAGATGCGGCCCAAAGGAAGGAGAGTAGATTGTGGATGAAGTAAGTGCTGTGTGCATGTGAAAGAGGGCAAACACGATGGGCACGTCTTTAAGACTGTGTGAAATAGCAGCAGCCCAGGATGCAGAGAGTTCCGGGGATGGACCGTTTGGAGTGGCATCAGCAAAGAGCAGCAAACGCGAGGATTTCGTTTCCTGCAGCCCCTTTGGTGGCTGCAACCAACAGCATGGAAGGCAAACCAGGGCACCCACTTCCATTTGCTTGGAGTCCCTGAGAATCCAGAGTAACTTCCTGCTTTAGGCGTTCTCAGCCCTCACCCTGTTCATAAACAGTCGATGTGTGTTTGATGCTGTAGGAGGCGGTGACCTTCAGGGACGTGGCCGTGGTCTTCAGCGAGGAGGAGCTGGGGCTGCTGGACTCTGCCCAGAGGAAGCTGTACCGGGACGTGATGCTGGAGAACTTCAGGAACCTGCTCGCCGTGGGTGAGGCCCTCGAAGGGTAACCCCTGGCTGCTCTGTGGGCTCAGGGTGTCTGTGGGCTCAGGTTTTGAAATTTTGGGCCTCTTGAAATCATCCATTGAACTTGGGTCCCTGAAGGGCCTGGAGTCCCCGTGCGGCATAGACACGAGGTCTCTGGCTGTCCTCTCCAGGCCAAAATCTCTCTTTTGAGGGGTAAATGGACAGATTAGGATCCTGCTCCATTGATTTGTCGTGAGATCAGCTCAGTTGCTCCAATTTGTTTTTGTTGTTGTTGTGGTTTATTGGGGCACCAATAACTATTTATTAATTTGATTTCTGGGAAGTACTGTTTTTTCTTTAACGGTGTATTTGTGTTTTGGGATGGGTACCAGGAATAGAACTCACACCCTTGCACTTGCCAGGCAGGTGCTTTCGCTGCTGAGCAAAATCCCTAGCCCAACAGGGTGTTCGTAAATAACTTCAAAAATACCTGCCTTTATCTGAATTCACTCAAAGTATCATTGTGCCCTTTGCTTTTTCTCTCCATATATGTATAATCAAAAGCATATAAATATATATATGTGTGTGTGTGTGTGTGTGTGTGTATTCATAATGTTCTTTTTCTGAACCTTTGAGGATCATTTGCATACACCATGGCCCTTTTGTGTAAGACTTCAGGGTATATGCAGAGTTTGGTAGTCCCCAAGAGAACCCTCACTTCCAACATCAACTACAAGTTTGGAGAGCCCCCAAACCACTAGACCTGAAAATTCACTAGAGGGACTCAGAATTCACCAGAGGGCATTACCTTCACAAGCATGGTGTGTTAGGAAAGAGATAGACTGAACTCCACCAAGGAAGGAAACCCATGGGGCACAGCTAAGAATGGTCCAAATCTGAAGCTTCCGTGCATCCTCTTTGGGAAGTTCATTATTTAACGGAAAAGTTGTTTCCATTTGTCTCTTTGAAGGGGCCTTCTGTTCCTGTGTAACATACCCTAACAGTGTTTCGAGCAGTCCCTAAAGCACAATGGCCTACCCTCACCTTTTTCTCTGCCCCACTCTGGAATCCTGCATGCCTTTTATTGGGAAATGGTGTTTAACAACAAGACCTGGAAACTACGGTCATTCTTGGATTCAGGGGCTAGAACTCAGAAGTGTGTATTTGTGCACATGTATGTGTGTATAGTTACACATGCACATATATTTTTATGTACCTGAACACAAATATCCATATAAATCTTTATACAAGTGAATATTCAGTCTAGTCCAAAATAAGAGAAATATTACAATTATATTGTCGTATCAGTTTTTGCCCATGAGACTGACACAAATTCAAAACATAACACTACTTTTTTGACTAACCATGTAGAATAAAGTAGGCTTACACCTTGAAAATAAAAATGCAAAATGAGGGAATCAGACACTATCAACAAAGCTGTGTTTTGACAAACTCATCAGGCTTAATTATTTTGCTTTTCTTACTTTCTTTTAACAGCACATCAGCCCTTCATACCAGACCTGATAGCCCAGCTGGAGAGAGAAGAGGAGCTTTTGATGGTGGAGACAGAAACCGAAGGAGGTGATCATGCAGGTGAGAGCTGTGCGGTAGGAACAAAGCAGGCAGAGCTTAAAGACACGACGCCCCGCCGTGTCTCCCCCGCCCCGAGCCTTCCCCGCTTCCAGCTGTGCTTGGCTCTGCCTCTTGTGTCTGTGCCTCCCGCACCACGCTGTGCTGCCTGTCAGACCTGACAGCTCTGTTCTGCGTCAGGTTCATGGCTTGCTTTTGTCTCTGCCTCAACCAAATGAATCGGTTAATCGAGGCCTGGCTTTGCTGTGTTCAGCCTACCTTCAGACAGCTGAGAGGCTCAGAACAAAGGGCGTAATGGAAGGCCCCTCCAGAAAGCTGACTGCTGTCTGGTGAACGCCTCTCCTGAGTGTTCAGCATCCTTGCGTATGCATACCTAGGTGACCGTTGTACCTTAGAGACATGCAGGGCCGGTCAAATAAAGTAGGCACCAAAAATGATCAGTTCCAACATCTAACTGACCTTTGCTATGCCAGTGAGGCAGCTGAATCCATATACCCAGCGTCTCGTCTTCCCATTCTTGCTTCTGTCCTAAACAGTCTCGTGACTGAGCTTCAGTCTTGAAGTAGAAATTTCAGGTTGTACATTTTCTTGGGTCCAAACCATTTGGTAGTGTTTCCTGAGTCCTCTAGACTCTCACATCAAAAGCTACGGTTACAATTGTATAGCTCCTGGGTAGGAAAAAGAAATTCAAAATGGATGAATTCCACTTCTGCAATTTTCATTTCTGCCTCAGTTAATTTTCTTTGTCAATCATGATGTGGTACTTTTTGAGAGCAGGGGTCCACAAGCTTTTTCTCTGAAGGTCCAGCTTATTTGAAGCTTTGCCAGCCGTGTATGGTTTTGGTCACGTGCCTTTTGTTTATGTTCTACCATTTAAAAAATGTAAAAACTAGCCAGATGCAGAAGCACACTCCTGTAGTCCCAGATACTTGGGAAGTGCAGGCAGGACTCTTTGAACCCAGAACTTCAGAACCAGCCTGGGCAACATGGTGTGACCCCATTTCAAAAGATAAACAAAAAAATAGAAAAACTAATACTAGGTCAAGAGCTATTTAAAAAAAAACAACCCAGGCTAAGGTGATAGTATACCAGTCTCCTTTCCTGATACCATCAGTACCAACATAGTGTCACCTGTTAAAACGTTTAATTCTCTTACATATATTGCTACCATTTCTATACCTTATATTAATGAGAAATTTTGACTATATGTACATTTTTATTTTTAATGCACTGTTTTTCTCTTTCTCATACTTTGGGGAAATCCTTCTCAGTCTAAAATTGTAATTAAGGCTGGGTATGGTGGCACATGTTTGTAATCCCAGCACTCAGGAGGCTGAGGCAGGAGATTGCTGCGAGTTCAAGGCCAGCCTGGGCTACAAAGTGAGTTCAAGGCCAGCCTGAACTGCATAGTGAACCTCTGTCTCAAAAAGACCAAATTCAATTAAATTAATTAAAATTGTAATTATTTTGTGTGTGTCACGGCTGCATAATATCAGTCTGTGGATATGACATGCATCCTTTATTTCCCACTTGGTGAGCATCGGCTTATTTCATTTCATTTCTTAACTAATAACAGGCGATACAGCAGTAGAAACCCCAATTCAAATGTCCTATCAGAAATTCAAAGAGTAAACCAAACTTTCCTGAGCTTTAACTTTGGAGCTGTAACCAAAATAAGTAGCCCGCCTTGGCTTCCCTGCAATCTCCAGGAGGGGACTTGATTCACTTCAGTGGAGAAATGATGAAGTGAAGATTCTCACGGGCACTGTCTTGGCAGGTCCCCTGTAGGACAGAGAAAAATTTTCCAAGCCGCAGCCCATCCATCCCTTCCAAAGTCCACATCCACATCCTTCCTAGATTGCCTTTGCCTGTGTCAGACAAGGAATGTTCAGGGAGAAACAAGAATCATGAAGATTGACACTTTCATTCTCTCTACCCCTTATTCAAAAATAGGGAACACTCTCTCTGCATTTTTATTCCCTGTGGGTTAGCTGTCAGATAAGTAATACAGATTGTGGACGATTGCCAGGCCTTTGTTCTCAGTCAGATCTAGTGTGTAGTTCTCGGCTGATGCACGCTGCAGGCTGAGAGGTGGGGAGGTTGCACTCTCCTGCTGCACACATTCAAGGGGGAGAAGGGGTGTGCCTCAAGTGGAGAGCTGCTCCCTGTATGTTGGATCATCAGCCTAAGAATCACAAACCTACCTTTAATCTTTTTCTAAATGTACACATCTGAACTTTCTATCTGAGCCTTGTAATTGTTTAGCGACCTAGACCTTTCTTACCCTCCAGACCAGTGATTCTCATACCTCGTGGGCCGTGACTGGGTACCGCAGCCCAGGACCAACCCAGCAGCAGCTGCTTAGCTGATACAAACGTTTCATTCAGCAGGATGCCTCACCTGTTTCTCTCATTCTAGCTTCTCTTAAAATTCCGTGTCGCCACTGTGTGTCCTCCTGCCTCAGCTTTCCAGAGGGCTGGGATTATAGGCATGTGCCACAGGCAAAACTTGTCAGGGAGCACAAATTATAACTTAAATCTTGGGGACATCCACGGCTGTCCTTGTCCTTGTCCTACCCTTTGAGCCAGACTGGAACACAGAAACGTGCCGCTCTTTTCTGGTCACAGCTGGTCACCCTGGTCACCCAGGGTTAGTGACCATGTGGCACTGACAGGGCAGGATAAGAGCAGCTGATGACAGGCACCTGGGGAATTATCGTCCCCCATTGCCTCCTGTCTCGTCCTTGTAGGAATGCTCTGTTCTCCTTGGTAGACACCATTACTGTTCCTGGAAACACTCAGGGCCCTTCACGCACTGTTCTTGACCAGATGTAATCAGGAAACACCAACGTCCTGGCTGCCTCTTTTCAAAGGAATTAAAAGTGCTGTGGTTTACAGTGACTTAGAAGAGATTATTTTCGTGAAGATAAATAGCTCATTAAAGACAGGGTATATCAATTCGTCTAACATAGATTAAAGTGTTTACCTTCTTAATCATAGCATTTAACACATAACTGGCTTACAAATAAAAACACTGTCATGAAAGGAGAAAAAGTTATTATCAGGGCAAAAAGCATTTGTCCACTTTCAACCACTGTTATTCTTTCCAGTTGGAGAACATTCCTTCTGTTTTCTCCTTTAGGTCTGTAAGCATCCCGTGATAAACCCATAACATGCTTACGCTTCTACTAGGCTTTTTGCATGAGACCCCTGCATTTGCTGTCTTTTGTGTTACAAAACCCCGATCTTGATGCATACGTATAGTCTGAATTTCGTCCATCCTATTTATACCACTATGCAGCCAAACATGAGGAATTTTTCTAGGATTCATAAAAGTAGTGGCATGAATTTTCTTTTATTCATTCAAGTTTCATGTTACAACCCAAGTGTAAAATTTTGAACTCTCTGAATAAAGCATTTATTTGTGCATTTGTCTGAATTCTCTTTGTAGGAAGCAACATTCAACATAAGGAGCATATTCAAGAAGTGGAGTTAAGTTACCTTTTCCCCAAAGAGCTTTCCTCCTGCCAGACCTGGAAACAAGCTGATTCCATGAAAAACTTTCAGGGAAAGAATCTTCAGTTGTCAAAACAAGGTGATTCTCCCTGCCAGATCTGGGCGGGAATGCCAATGCAGATTTCTGAAGATGGGAACTATGTAGTGGGTGATTCTAATTACGTTACAAGTCAAGAGTTTCCATGCGTGAGAGCCCAGCACTCTTGGAGGAAAATGTATCTACCTGAGGCCCATAATCCTCTGTGTAAATGCCCACAGATCTCCATGAAAAATAATTTCGGTAAGGGTGAGAGTGTCAGTTGGATTTCACATCGCAGTGATAATCTGGGAGTACCCAGAAATGAAAAAAGCTACAGTTGCAGTGACTGTGGAGAAGATATCCTGGACGTAGCATTTCTCAATCAGAGCCAAATCCAGGCAGAGCAGAAGCCCTGCCCGTGTACTGCGTATGGAGAAGACGTCAGTGATGACCGTGGCCCTGAGGTTCAGCAGCAGCTGTGCCTAGCAGGGAAGCCCTGCATATCCAGTCCATATGGAAGGGGCTGTAATTGTAAGTCAGTTCTTCATAGCCGTCCAAGTGTTCAGAGAGGTGAGGGTGGTGAGGGCTTGCATCCGCAGTCCCAGCAGAGATCATGCCCAGAGAAGTCATGTACATGTGGTATATATGGCCGGAAGGTCCATCAGCGCCCCTCTCTCAGCAATTACGAACTCGCCCACACTGGAGAAATATCCTGGAGGTGCAAAGTTTATGAGAAAGCCCTCAGTCGCAGCTTAGACCTTAGAAATATTTTTAGGGTCCATACTAGGGAGCGATCCTGTGAATGCGAGGAGAATGGGAACATTTTAAATCAGAACTCATGTCTTGGCGTTGATCAGCATCAGAATTTCCACACTGAAGAGAAACTGTACACCACTATGGAGTATGGAAAGGGTTTAATTAGTAGTTCATATCTTAACGGCCAACATCCACTTCACATGGGGGAGAGTCCGTATCATATTGAGGAGTGTGGTAATGACTTCAGCCTGGCCTCGCATTTTCAGGGCTTTCCGATAGCCCACCCCAGGGAACAACCACATAAACGTTACGTATACAGTAACAGCTTCAGTCAAAATTCATGTATTCAAGACCATCAGAAGATTCCCATTAGAGAAAAACCTTATAAGGAGCGTGGGAATGGCTTCGACTGGAGTTTGAAACTTAAAAATCATCAGAAAGCCCATGCTGGACAGAAACCACACAAATGCAATGTCTGTGGCAAAAGCTTCAGTCATAGGTCGGTTCTGAATGTTCATCAGAGAAGCCACACAGGAGAAAAGCCTTATAAATGTGAGGAGTGTGACAAGGGATTCAGCCGGAACTCGTACCTCCAAGCGCATCAGCGAGTCCACTCTGGGGAGAAACCGTACAAGTGTGAGGAGTGTGGGAAAGGCTTCAGTCGCAGTTCCTACCTTCAGGGCCATCAGCGAGTACACACCGGAGAGAAGCCATATAAGTGTGAGGAGTGTGGGAAGGGCTTCAGTCGGAGCTCACACCTCCAAGGCCATCAGAGAGTGCACACTGGAGAGAAACCATTCAGATGTGCGGAATGCGGGAAGGGCTTCAGCTGGAGCTTTAATCTTCAGATTCATCAGCGGGTTCACACAGGAGAAAAACCTTACAAGTGTGCAGAATGTGGTAAAGGCTTCAGTAAAGCCTCCACTCTCCTGGCCCATCAGAGGGTCCACTCAGGCGAGAAGCCATACCAGTGTAACGAGTGTGGCAAGAGCTTCAGTCAGAGATCCTACCTTCAGAGTCACCAGAGCGTCCACTCTGGAGAGAGACCGTACGTCTGCGAGGTGTGCGGGAAAGGCTTCAGTCAGAGAGCGTATCTGCAAGGCCATCAGAGAGTCCACACCAGAGTGAAACCGTATAAATGCGAGATGTGTGGGAAGGGCTTTAGTCAGAGTTCACGGCTGGAGGCGCACCAGAGGGTGCACACGGGAGAGAAACCATACAAATGTGAGCTGTGTACAAAGGGCTTTAGTGAGAGTTCACGCCTTCAGGCCCATCAGAGGATTCACGCAGAAGGGAGACCCTATAAATGTGAACAGTGTGGGAAGGGTTTCAGTGGGTACTCAAGTCTTCAGGCCCATCACAGAGTCCACACTGGGGAGAAACCTTACAAGTGTGAGGTGTGTGGGAAGGGCTTCAGTCAGAGGTCAAACCTCCAAGCCCATCAGAGAGTGCACACTGGGGAGAAGCCTTATAAATGTGATGCGTGTGGGAAGGGCTTCCGCTGGAGCTCGGGTCTGCTGATTCACCAAAGAGTCCATAATGGTGATAAGTTCTATACAAGGGAAGAGGACAGCAAGGTGTATTCTTCCTCAGAGCAGCTACACTGAAATGAAGGCTTGTAAAATGGTGTCCTGGTTTGCTCTGAAGTCCTCAGGAGGGAGCTGCAGAGTTCCAGCCCCTGGAGTACTTGTAGTATGTGTGCTGCCGAAGTGAGCACACCCAAGTTCTTTTAGTAGAAAAATAATTGTTTTAAATGAAAATGTAACGTGTCTTCCAACTTCAGTGTCTCATGGTTAGGAGGCCACACCACAGAGGCCTTTGATGAGAGGAGTTCTATAACAGATTTTGTCAAAACTTTCCCGAGTTTCTGCACAGGAGCTAGGGCTCCTAAGTATGAGTATGCTGAGGAATGTAACAGAATTACAGTGATGAACATGCCAAACTTACGTCCAATGGCATGTAGCTCGATGAGATTTTGCTCACTGTTAAGTCTACAAAACTATTAATATTTTGCAACTTACAATAAGTACTCAATACTTACTGACTAAAGTATGGAAAGGTATAATACTGAAAATTTTATTCAGCTAATTTCGAAAACCTCAGTGGGTTTGGAAGAGGAATTATGCAGATGCTCTCAGTATTACTTCAAGGATTATTTGAAATGTAGGCAGCGAGCGGTATTGCATGGGAAGTGACATGAATTGGGTTGTAACCCTGCTGGTACTGGTTCCCGTCATTTGTCCCATCCTAAGGAAGGTGAGCCGAGTTTCTAACATGTGGTCCCTTTCTGTGAGTACACAGTCAATGTAAGTTTACCTCTGTGAGTGTGTGTACTTGTATGCACTTTAAATGACAATGCAAACTGATTAACAGTGTTTCTGGGTAACTTTTCAAAAAACGGAATGCTGCATTTTACATAGTTACATTTTTACTTCTGCCCTCTGTTTTAAGGCAGTTTTACTGTAACATTTGGAAAATGTCAGAAGTGTTACTAATAACAAATAGTTTTAAATAAATGTCAAAGTTCTACTGCTTGGTGTTTCACTGTCTGTACTTCCTCAGACTTCGTTTATCTGATTTCTATGTTGGCTTTACCTTCTCAGGCAGCGTTTATGACAAATTTGAAGGACTAAAGTTTCTATTGCCACACTTTCCCATTCACATAAAGGGAAAAATTGTGAATTAAAAATTTTTGATACATTTTGATTAGAATAGTACTGCCACACTGAACTACATCCCCAGCTTCTTTTTGTTTGTATGTATGTATGTTTTTTGAGACAGAGTCTTGCTAAGTTGCCGGGGCTCAAATTTTAATTGTTTTGCCTTAGCCTCTCAGAGTGTGTGTCCTGGCACTCCTGGTTTATACTGTTTTCTAAAATTCTCTCTCTGTCTCTGTATGAACTTATCTTCAGCTGGCTCACGAGATGGTAAGCTTACCTGGTTTTTTGTTTGTTGGTTCATAGCCAAGAAAAGAGAGCTTATGTGTTATTTAGTAGAATGTATTTCTGCTCCTGAAACTGCACAGAATCTCTGAGACTAAACCAAGATAACAGAGGATACACCCCACAGACAGACTAGACTGCTCCTTGTGACAAGCCAGAGCAGGCCTCACTGGAAAGGGAAGAACATGGCCAGAGAACTCTCCAGCCACTCAAGTGAACAGGGCCAGCCAAAAATGAGGGTGCAGCAGGAATACTGGGAAAAAATCCTTCAGCATTCCAACCCCCACCCTAAGCCAAAGGTCATTCAGGAGAATTTTGAAGCCAGTAATACACTTAAATATTGCAAAAACAAACTCAGTACCCAAATCCTGGCCATATCAATGCAACATGCCAAACTACTACTATTCTATGTATATTATAGAGCTTTTAATTTTAAAAAGGAACTATGCTAAGAGACAGTGGACTCTTAAAAATTACACTTAGAAATGACCATCTTTTAGACCTCATAGGAAATTTTGCATAAATGTTGGACTCAAGGCTTTGGACAGTGCTCAAAGAATTGGTGGCAGCCGAGATGAGAAAAGCAGCAGACTTCTTATCAGAAACTGTGCAAGAGGAAGCCATGGAATGACATCTTTGACATCTGGGGGAAAGCAGTTCTGCCAATCAAACATGCTAAGCCCATGGAGAATTACTCAAAATTATGCAAAATGAAGACATTTTTAAGTAAAGTTGGTAGAACTCATCAGCAGCTGACCTGCACTACAAGCAAGATAAAAGACTTCCCTCAGACAGGAGAAGGAGCATGTCGAAAACACATTTGAACCTACCAAAATAAGGAAGTTTGAAAATTGTTAAAATGAAGATAAATATTTTTATTTTATACACTCTGAAATGCCCACTAAAGTAAAAATAGGGATGAGGTTTATGAGGATTATATCACATGTAAAAGTAACACGTATTTACAACAATACCACAGAACAAGGAGGATAATCAGAAATACACCATGACGCTCTACATGAATTGGAATAATACTTGAAGGCAGACTGAAAAATTATAGAGGCATATTTGAGAGTCGTGGGCCACAGGAGGACAAACAAGCCAACCCTTTCCTGTGATCCAGCCAGTGCATGAGCTGGGAGACAAGGAGAGTGGGACCCCCCCCCCCACACACACACAAGGCTTTCTTAAAACAAGTCACACCTGGAGCCGGGACCAAGCTGGCAGAGTGAGCAGCAGAGAAAACAGCATCTCAGAGTCTGTCCCGATGCTGGGAATGTAGGACCGTGAGAAAGGCAAGGAGGGAAGTGGGCCCACTGGACCCAGGAAGAATCTGAAGTGCAAACTGAAGCCCACAGAGAGGAAGAGAAACATTTCAACCAAGAATAAGCCAGTGTAGCTAGCAGCACCTGCTCCCCGAGATGGGACTCGGTGCATGAGAGGAGTGGTCCATACCTGCAGCGACATGGTCATGGTCACAGAGACCTCTGCACAGAGATGTGGCGGGGAGGGGGAGCAGCGGACAGGGAGGACTGCACTGGCTGGCAGTGAGTGCAGAGGACTTAGTCCTCCTGCAGGAGAGAGCAGGTGGCTGGGAGCCATCTTGGAGACAGCCAGCTCCATCTAGCAGCTCCCAGCTGGGCTCGGACTCATGGAAATTGCCTGGGCAGTGGTGAGCCCCATGTGTCTGGTATCGGAGCAGGCCTGCTAAGATTACCCACTCCCCTGCCAAGAGCTACTGCTGGCTTGCTGGGTAGATTGGCGTGATTCGGGACTCTGTCTCCACAAGTTGTCTACTAGTGAAGCCAAAGAAAATTCCAGAAGTGAGGTGTCCATTTTTCTTTATTTTTCTTTTTGTTTCTCTGCCTCATTTTTATATAAATATGAACGCTGTTCCTACCCTCTCTGTGGGTGAGGTTCTGTTCTGTTCTTCATCTTATCTCTTCTCTTTTCCTTCAGTCTTCTGCACCAGTTTCCCAAAGTTGGCATGATCACCTGTCCTCCAACCTTACTTCTAATCTCTTCCTCTTCTTCCACTTCTCTATTTTCTCCTCAATCCACTTTAATTTTTTTCTTAATTCATTTTAAATTTTAACCCCTGAGAGCAAAATTGATACATGAAGGACTTACATACTGCATATAAATTTCTGGTTTGTTTTATGTTTTGTTATATGACCATAAATATGGCTCATGGAGTTAAAAGTGGCAAATTAAGGGTTAGCCCAGTTTGTTGTTTCCTAGCCTGCGTTTGATGCTATTGGAACCACTACAGCCAAAACTGACATGATTGTTCTAAACAGCTGTTGGCCCTGATAATCCATGGCTGAGATTAACTAAGGGTCACAGAGAATACTGTGGCACAGTGCCAAACAACCAGGGACTAGGCCAAATGAGCAACAACTTCTCATCCCCAAAAAACGGAAGAGGTTAGATCTTCTAACTGACTCAAAACCCAAGAATCAGCTACACCTGGAACACACTTCAGAGAAGCAGTCATCACTTAAGGGTTCTAAATAACAGCAGTAAAATAACGCACCATAGGTGACTTACAAGCATCACCCCCAGAAATTAAACTAAAAGAAAAGAAAATGAAAAGACACATAAACAAGATGCAACCCCAGACATCCAGTTCACCAAAGGCAAATCCAGGGGGCAATCAGGTGGGACAATCTGAAAGCCCCCAGCAGGCCTCTAAACTGGTGACAACAAAGGCAATTAGATGACGCTCTGGAAAAAATGAAATTAGAAACAATCAGGTTACTACAGAGAATACTAAAATACACACCAAGCTTAGTGACATTAAAAAAGATAGAGACAAAAAAAAAAAAAAAAAAAAAGATGAGTTTAAGAAAATTTGGAAGCTCAGCAGAGGAAAGAAATGGAACCCATAAAGCAGATTCAAGCACATATCCAGGAGAATAAAAACCCCACTAAAAGTATTCAAAGCAGATTAGGCCCATGTGAGGACAGAATCTCAGATACTGAAGACAGGCTTGCAGTTAGTGACCATGAAAAGACTTCTCAAAACTACCAAGGAACCATGAGAAACCAAACCAGCAGCTGCCAAATGAGACAAAGAAGAATAACATAAGTGAACATCCATTCTGTTCTCTGCCACTGGAGTTGGCTAAATCATGGAATTTAGTAAATTAAAATTTCTGCAAATGTGTTAAAACAATTTTGCTACATATAGCATTGCTCACCACAGATACCATGGCCTTTAGTTATGCGTATCTTAGCATCAATTATGCTACAGATTACAAATATCCTCATTTGGGCTAGTATAATAATGCCTCATCCCCATATAAAAAAGGAGAAGCCTTTGCCTGGGTCTCCAACCGGAAGTTGACCCACTGAGGGGGCGGTGCCTGTGTCCCTGGGCCTTCTGGGAAATGTAGTTCCGGGGCCGGGATAAACGGAGATGCTACCCTAGAGGGAAGGAGGCCATGCTACAACTTTTCGGTCCGGAAGATGAGTACCCTTCGCTTCCACCATCTTTCAGAGCCCTTTCAGCCTGCGGGTGGGAAGTCGCGGCCTCGGGCGCAGGCTGAGGAAAGCAGGCGGAAGCGCGGGTGCCGCGGCCTCCCCGCCCCGTGCTGCGCTGCTGCCCATCCGCGCGGGACCTGCGCTCTGCTTTCCGGATCCGTCAGGTGGCGGTGGAGCGCGCAGCCCTGGGCCGGCGGGATTAGGACGAGGCCGACCGGGCCTGCCAAGGGCTCGCAGCGGGAGTGGCGCCCGGTAACGGGTGTTTGGGCTGCCGGCTGCGATGCTCTCACCAGCGCCCCTTGCAGGGCAGCCCTGGAAGAGCAGGAGGTCGGCCCGGGCCTTTCCGCCGTCCTGCGGGCAGAGGCTGAGCGGGGCGCCGCGCACTCACCGCGCGCCCTCTTCGCCCAGCCGGGACGGGAGCCGGCTTCCTCCAGGCTCGCCCCGTGCCCTCCTGTGCCTTCCTGCTGGTCCTGCCATCTTTTCGGTTAATCAGGTTTCCCTCGCCGTGCGTCACCACGAAGAATATGATCGCGTCTGTGTTGAGTAAATGAAAATGGGTAGGAGAGAGACTCGGAAGTGAAACTGTTAATAGCATCTCGTCCCTTTGATTTCTGCGCATTCTTCTATCAACTGTGTCGATCAAGGAAGTAGTTGTTATCTTTATTTTAAGGATGAGGAAAATGAGACAGAAGGTGCTTTGTTGTCGCAAAGTCATTAAACTTAATATTACCAGCTGGCTGTGTAGCTGAGCCGGGTTCTTAACCCCAGCGATACGGGGACCTGCAGTTATCCTACCAGTGATCCATCCCCCGAGGGGCTTCGTTTGAAGGTGCAGTCGTTGGGAAGTTTCCTGTGGAAGACTTTGAAAACTACACTGAATTTTTAAAAATCCTAAAACATCTCATTTACTTATTGATTGCGTGTCAAATAAAGTCGCATGCGGGTTATATCAATACCGAATGCCCATGTAGAGATGCTCTTCCAACCTAGTGCCTTAGGGCTTACACCTTATTAACGCTGGAACCCAGGCTGGTCCCATGGAGATGCCCTGTTAGGTGTGAAGTAAACATTGGATTTTAAGATGAGTCACGACCAGCCTGGGCTA